CGAATAATAAGATGTATTCAGAAGAGTGTCGTTGTTGACTTTGCGTCCATTTGTGTTTGAGATTGAGGCTTGGAAAAATGAAGCAATGCTTTATGGTCTACGATTCCTGGTGTGCTGAGTGCATGAAGCAAGTATTTTTTTTCCTCGAGTATACTTACAAAAAGAAGTATCAGAAGTTTATTGAGATAAGGAATAAAAAATATGATTGAAAACTTGGTTGCTCAATAGTGACAAGGATTGCATTCAAATCACAGAATTCAATAAAGACGAGAAATCTTGCATTGATCAAAGATTGATCAGGAATATTCTCAAATGATGATTCTTGTGAATAGCAATCTAGGATGGTGGAGTCAAGATGACCAGACATAACCTGGCAAGATGAAAAAAATACGTCACATCGCGTACTCACGGGCAGCGTGAAATTGAATACACGACAACCCAACATCTTAGAGACCTTATTCGCAACATGAGGATGTACAACGGGTGCTCCTGACCTCCGCTCTACCCCCACCCCCCTCCCCGACTTTTACGCTACTGTCCCTACCCCACCCCCTCCCTTTCCTATCTCGGTCCCCCAAATCTCACCCCTCTCTTCTCCCACCGAAGACCAAGGCCCTACTCGGACCCCTCCGCTACCCCCTATTCCCTTCACCCCACCCCCCATCCCTTCCTCTCAAAAAAGATTAAAAAAACTCTAAAAAAGAAATACAAAATCCTCTAAAAACGCTGCGTTTCAACGGGGGATTGCTGGGCCAGAAGGCATGCGAGCAGGGAGGGAGCAGCAGCAGCAGCACTAGACCGTCTGCCCTCCCCTTCCATCCCCAACATCACTCCAGTCATCGCCTCGACTCTCTTCTCTCGCGCCTGCCCCCCTTCGCACGAGCAAGCTCAAGCCCCCTGGAGCTCAGGTGAGGACTCGAGGACGAGGGGCCGTCCTGGCCCGGGGGTGGATCAGAGCCCGGAAGACTGAGGGGATGAGCGAGCAACCCAAGACAAGAGACTCCGTCACCGTCACCCCCAAGCGAGCAGGGGAAGGAGCAAGCGCCTACGACGTGCAGCTCGACCTCACCATCATCGAGCCTCTCTTCCACATGCGACAGAAGGACGCGGCCAAGTTCCTGGTGAGCGCGAGCGCGAGCTCGAGCAAGCTTGCTCGCATGCGCCTGACGACGCTGGCAGGGCATCTCGTTGACGACGCTCAAGCGAGCTTGTCGCCTCCTCGGGGTGCAGCGATGGCCGTACGCGCGGCTGCGCGACGAGAGGGCAGGGAACCAGGCGCTGCTCCTGGACCTGGAGGAGGAGGGAGATGAAGAGGAGGGCGGGGAGGAGGAGGAGGAGGAGGAGGAGGAGGAGGAGTGTTACAGCGAGCATGAGGCTGGCAGGGCGTCGTCGGTAGCTACAGCAAGCAGCGGGCATGCGCGACGACCGCTGCACGAGCGAGCGATAGCGCCCGCGTCTGCTCGCCGGGGCCCGGCGAGCGTCTGGACGGCATCGCAGGGCAGCGGAGGAGCGGAGACGAGCAGCGCGGGGGTGACATCGTCAAGCAGCAGGACGACGCCGAGGATCGACGGGGAGGGGACGAGCAGCCCGCAGAGCCGGGGGGAGACACCAGGGTCGCACACAGAGTCAGCACCCGAGCCTTCCTCGCAAGCCATCGACGCGCACTGGCTGGAGTGGTACTTGTCGTGTGAGGACGAGGACGGGCGGGAGTGACGGGGAGCGGATGAGCATGTACATACATTGTGTATTGCACATGTAAATAAACATGGTAGGCTGATGAGATCATGTCGTCCAGTCCTGACCACTCCTGCTCCTGCTCCTCCCTCCTCCGTCTCCGCCTGCGCAGGCAATGTCTTCGTCACCATCAGTCGTGTCGTCAGCTTCCTCCTTCTGTCTGACGTTTCTCCGACTGCCTCCCACTGACGCCTGCACTCTCTTGGCGTAGCAGCGGCCGGCTCCTCCTCCTCCTCCTCCCTCGTCCTCAGATGGCATGCAAGCATGTCGTCAAGCACTCGCTGCCTCGGGCGACATGAGCTCCGACATGCCCGCCGAAGACCACAATACCCTCCTGTCAGCCCGCGTCCTCCTCGCTCGCTCCCCTTGCTTCGTCTCTGGCCCTGTATGTATGCTGATACCATGTCCGCACATGCCTCCCTCATCAGCCGCCAAGGGCTGGCCTGTGCCCCCTCCTCGTCCATGCTTCCCTTCGCACGGCTCGCCTTCTTCCTCGTCTCGCTCCGTCATGGCATATCTGCTTGCCCAGGCGATACACAGTGCTCGCATCCTGGCATCCCCTTGGTTCTCCTGCCTCTCGTCTCCCTCATCTACCGTCCACTCTACGCCTCCTCCTCCCTCCCCTCGCTCCCATCCCTCCCCTCCCCCCTCCCCTCCTCCCCCGTGCTCTGCCCCTGCCCGCCGACCTTCGCCTCCCGCCGCCTCCTCCCTGCGACCAACCTCCGTCGCCATGGCAGGAAGGCGACAGGAGTCTCGAGGGTGGGGTGGTGAGGGAGCCAAACAAGGGGGTGCATCCTCCCCCCTGCAAGCTCCTTGACGCTAGGCCGAGACCCCACCGGTGGTGGTCCCATGACCCTACCGGTGGTTGTCACATCCTTCACCCCGTGGTCTGAGAGCGCCGACCCCCCACCCCACCCCCCAAGACCTCCGCGGCCCCCATCCATGCGCCCCGTGCGATCAGGTGGATTTCGTCACCCCTACCCCCTCTTGTGCCTTTTGCTACCCCTACCCCTCGTACGCCTCCTCCTTCCCTCCCCTTCTTCCCCCCCCCTCCCTATCATACTGATCGTCCTCTCCCGTCATTTTCCGCTGTCGTTACCCCATTCCATGCTGATGCTGCTGATGCTTCATCGATTCACTGTGACATGGTGGTGTCTTATCTCATTTTCGTTCTGTTCCCTGTCTTCATTCGCTCCTTCTCACCAACGCTCACATTCTTGTTTCCCCCCTGCAATTTCGTTCTCTCCTGTGCTTCCCTACCCATTTTCAGGTCTTGCATGCCTAGAGCGAACAGCATGTGTTGACAGATGCAACTATTTCATTCAATCATACCACATGATACATCTACATACAGACTACGATCAATACGCTCCATTCCGATGGTGACTCTCTTGTCATCTCTCGTTTCTCCGAGGAACACAGAATTGATGAAACGCTGTATCCGAGCATGCATGCAGGCATGCATGCATGCATGCAGGCAGGCATGCAGGCATGCAGGCAGGCAGGCAGGCATGTGCAGGTTCAAGGTCGAGATGGAAGTATTTTGCATCCACGTGCAGTGCAATGATGACTAAACCAGACACTTTACAAGTTGTACATTATTTTGAGCATGTTAGCGTATACAACAAGGAAGATATCACTCACTGACTTCTAGCTGGATATCCGTAAAAGCTTGTCAAACATGCCCAATGATTGTGCTCATGCCCAATTTCACAACAAAACAAGCCCATGCAACATGATCATATCAACACACAAGCAGCATAATCATATCAACACAAGCCCATGCAGCATGATCATATCAACACAAGCCCATGCAACATGATCATATCAACACAAGCCCATGCAACATGATCATATCAACACACAAGCAGCAGCCCATGCAACATGATCATATCAACACACAAGCAGCATGATCATATCAACACAAGCCCATGCAGCATGATCATATCAACACAAGCCCATGCAACACAAGCCCATGCAACATGATCATATCAACACACAAGCAGCATAATCATATCAAGCAGAATACTCATATCAACACAAGCCCAATGCACATGATCATATTCCAAATGATCATATCAACACAAGCCCATGCAACATGATCATATCAACACACAAGCAGCAGCCCATGCAACATGATCATATCAACACACAAGCAGCATGATCATATCAACACAAGCCCATGCAGCATGATCATA